GCCTAAACCATTGTTTGAAGTCATCAACAAGAATGGTGGAGCTACTCATTACTGAGTCCTTTTTTTGACAATTTGATTTCTGTTTTGGGGGGGTTTCGGTTTTTTTTAGCTATGGTCTTAAACTTTTGATCAGCTGAAAAAAAATCATGTTTGAGTGTAAATGCAGTTTTCAGACCATTCCCTCTTGCACTGTCTCTTGCAGTGATTTCTTCTTTTAACATTGTGAAGCTCTAGTTGGAACCTTCTTAAGATCCAACAGTGTAAAATGCAAATTCTTGCACTTTTTTGACTGGTCTTAATGCTGTAAAAGGAAAACTTTGTCCTGTAGCTGTACAGTCCTCACCTTTAATTCAGCTTTATTACATTAAGTAACAAAGATGAATGATGATGAGCCTAAGTTAAAAGTTTCAAATTGGCATTACTGAGTTAACTGGAATTAAAGATCAAATCTGTGAATTTAAAACTGAAATATATCATTGAGTATAGTCAATGGGTATGAATTAAACCCTGAATTGGTGGATTTAAATTTAAATTAAAACCTGTATCATTGGGTTTAAACTCAAGTTAAATCCTGATTCATGAAGATGCACTCACGTGGCATTGCTGAAACCGACATACTCATTTCCTGCTAGTTTGTTCATGAAGTTCATCACCTGCAGAGAAAAACATCTAGTAATAAAAACAAATAAAAAACCTACCCTTAAATATCAAAGCTAGAATAAAACTCTGAATTTCACCATGTTTAAACAACAAGTTAAAAGTAAACAACAAGTTTAAAGGTCTTTGGAAGTAATTCTAAGAAACAAAAATGTTTCCATTGTGCAAAAAATCATATAATCATATCATAATAATTTTAGAACATTTGTTGATTTTTGGCAAACATATAAAATCCAATTTATAAAGAAACTTTAACTTTCTTGACTTTGTGAAGTATGACCAAGCAGCTGATTTGATATATTAATTTCAAATTTTGAAATCACATTCATACTCACATAATCAAACTTCTCAGCATTGCTGGCTCCTTGCTGAAAAACACAAGAAGAATTACTTATGTTGTCTCCATCATACATCAAAGAAAAACTACAGCAGAAATCAGTAAAAGCCAAGACTCGAGCATTTGATCCAAATGTCAATAAGTGAGGTTGGGTTGAGATTATAACAAGGAGGCAAAAATAAATCAAGTATTAAACTCAGAATGTGAAGTTAAGCTGATTTTTTAAAATGACAATTTATTGCACCATTGTTTTATTGTGTCATTTCACAATAAAACTGACTGAATGTTAACAGATTACAGGTAAAACAGATTATAAAGTAATCTTTAAGGAGTCAGCTGTTAATTAGTCTTAACCTAAAAAAACAAACAAAAAGGAAAAAGTGCTGCTGCTTGTGTAGATCAGTACTGTATCTATAGAAAATTAGAAAAGCAACATTTAAACATTAGTAAACAGAGAAAGACGGAGAAAAAGGAAAACAAATTACCAACATGTTTGACTCATTTCTGTTCGTTGTTATTTCCAAAGAACCTACAGCTGGAAAATATGCGGCAACAACAACAACATAGAACCAGTGTCTAGATCAAGAGCAATACAAAAGACACAGACAGAAACCCTCTCCAAACCTGTTATCAGATTCAGGCTGGAATTGGTTTCACACAGAAAAACGAGGAGGATAGTTATTAAAAACTAGATTTAAACACAAGAGTTTTGTGTTTATATAATAAGTCTGCATAAATTTGCTGCTTTATCAGCTGAAAGTGTGATGCCTTAATGGCTTGTTAGAATAACTACAGTCTAGGAGGAGAAGCAGGTGGTTTTATAGTAATTATATTATTTATTGATCGATTTTCTTATTGCTAATGATACACATTACTTCAAGCAGGAGGTTGACATTTCTACAGACTAAATTTAGAAACATTTTATGTGAAGTCTGAAACTGAAATATTCTGCATCATACGCACAAACATGTTTTCATCTTAATCTGCAGTTTTAAGTGAAAACAACTAATTTCTGTTCACAGCAGCGTGTCTGAAAACTCAATGTATCAAACTACGTTTGTTATACAGTCCCCTCCAAACATGTTGGAACAGTAAGCCAAACTTGTTTGTTGTTGTTGTACACTGAAGACATTTAAATTTAAGATCAGAAGATGAGCCAACCAGATGAGCACGAGACTAGAGTTCCAAATGTCAGCTTTTATTTCCTGGTAGTTACATGTAGATGTGTAAACAACTTAGGATATATCATCATTTGTATTACACCACAGCATTTTTAGGTGAACAAAAGTAAAGGAACAAATAATCTTCAAGTAAATATCTTTTAATATTTTGTGGAGTAACCCTTGCTTGCAATGACTGTCTCACGCCTGCGACCCATCAACATCACAAAACTGTTGCATTCTTAATTTGTGATACTGTTCCAGCCTGTTTTTAGAGCTTCTTTCAGTTCTTGTTCATTCCTTCAGTCTCCTCTTCAGGAGGTGCAATGCATGCGCTATTGGGTTAAGCAGGTGATTGACTTGGCCAATCGAAACTTTTTTCCCTGATGAAGTCCTTTGGCAGTGTGCTTTGGATCATTGTCCTTCTTCATGAGAAAATTCATCTGTATTAGTTTGGATGCATTTCTCTGTAAATTGGCAGACAAAATATTTCTGTACACTTCGGAATTCATTTTGGTCCTACCATCAATTGAATTCAGTTTATTCATTTTGCGCCAAGTCACTACAAATGTCGTCTCAGTGCACTGTGCACAAAAATCAATAAATCTAAAGAAGCCATCAGATTGTGTTGAATCTTCACTTTGTCACAAGCTGTATTTCCATCCAATTTTAAATCGAATTTTGAGCAAATTTTAAAAATTTTGCAAAAAGGAAAACACAAAACATGCGAGACGTGTTTCCATCAACTGGCTTGAAGCAAACCAATTAATGTGTGCAGTAAACAGGAAGTAAAAGTTGCAAACTTGCAGGGTGTCATAATCTGTATTTATTACCTCCGCCAAGGGTGAGGTAATGTTTTCGGTCGCGTATGTCTGTCCGTCTGTCTGTCTGTCGGTCTGTCATTCTATCTGTGGACAACATTACTCAAAAACTTGTGGACGGATTGTCATGACATTTTTACCACATKTGGGTACTGGGCCAAGTAACACAACTTTAAATTTTGGTGATGTTCCGGATCACAATGCGGATACAKGAATTTTTTTTTCTTTTAACACTCTGAGATCGGCAAAGCTGTGATGCTTTCACAGGGCGTGGGTTTCAAAGTGTCCAGCAGGTGGCACTGTAGTATTGGTGTGCCCCTTTGTAACTCTATTACAGGATGGGGGAAATTGGTCTTGGCGGAGGTTTGCACTCTCCGAGTGCTTCTAGTTTTCCTTGGTTACATTAAGCTTACATTTGGAACTCTTGTCTCATATTTTGCTCTTAAACCCAAATGTCTTCAGTTAAAAACAAAAACAAGGGAATATGACTTGCTGTTTGAATACTTCTGAAGGGGACTGTATCATATGGCAGAGCTCTTTAACTGGCAGCATGGGGGTCACCTCCAAATTGCAGGTGAGCTCAGCCCAGCCCGCCAGTGAGCTCATTTCTTGTTTACACGAGACTGGTCTCTGAAAATGCTAATGTTAACTGGGGTGAAAACACAAAAATCACCCATTTACATGGAACCACTGCAGTAATGTACCAGCTGCAGGGTTGCCAAATGGGACATAGTAAAGTGTTTTATTGTTCCTTTAAAATAATCATATTTTGAGTCAAAACAGCAGATCTGCTGTATGACTCTGTCAGTCATATATGCTGAGTGAGAGTGTTGTAAGATAAGGTGTGTGTTGTGTTTGGTGAAAATACGCATGTAAAAAAAAACGCTTAAAAATTGCTTTTTTTATCTGGCAACCCTCTCACTCATGCTCTGATCATGCAGTGGCTTCATGATCACAGTTACATTCGAACCTGGAGAATAAACTAAAGTTCGTTTGGACCTAGGATTATTTTTTTTTCCTACAAGCTACAAATGGTAGGAGAAAAAAAACACCCTGCTGTCTGTAATTTATTGTAATTGTTGTTAGCTTAGGAGAAACTTTTGCTGTGTGCCGGCTGTTTGAGCATGCATGCTTTCACAGCTGAGGCCTCCTCCTCTGTTTAATATAGGTTTTTCTTGTTTCATGAAAATTACTTCCTTTACCCGGGGCGGCTGTGTCAGAGTGGTTAGAGGAGTTGTCCTGGAACCGGAAGGTCACCGGTTCGATCCCCCGTTCCAGCTGTCTCAGTTGTCATGTCCTTAGGCAAGACACTTCACCCCCAATGCCTCTGATGTGTGGGGCACAGTTTGTAGTATTCGCTTTCAGTATCCTGGTTGGATAGGCAGTCCATTTACCCCTCTCTCCAACCATCTGGCCTGTCTGTCTAAAATATGAACATTCTGGACCTCAAATAAATATCCCTTATCCTTGAGATGTAGGTGAACTGTCGAGTCTTGTCCTGAAGAATTGGCTTTATGGTGTTGAGCCACGCACCTGTGGAGAAGGTTGTTAGTTTCTCCAATATATGTGTCTTACTCATTCCTCACGCCACTGAGCTTCGGTTTGCCTCCTGGATGGTTTTGGGGGTCTTGTCTTTAGGATGGACCAATCACTGTTGGACAGTCCTGTTGAGTTTGAGATGTACCAGGATATTGTTTTTGGAAAAAATACAGTTTTTCAGACACCATCCATCCATCATCTATACCTGTTTCTTCCTTTCAGGTTCATGGGGGTCACTGGTTCCCATATCCAGCAGTCACAGCGCAAAGGGCGGGGTACACCCTGGACAGGTCGCAAGTCCATCACAGTTTTTCAGACACGCCATAGACATATGGGATGACAACGTTTCTGCATTTGCTCTTTTGGGGACATGTTCGGCCTGATGGTCTAACATTCTAATGACAGAAAGTTTGTGTTCCAGTGGATGGTAGGAGCAGGTACTGATCTGTGGTTTACAACCTCTCATTGGAGTGTCATATTTTGTTGTAAAAAAAGGAACATTATGTAATATTGGTTTTGGAAAATGGCAACTCAGGATACAGTTGAACCTTAAGGGAATTATCCCATGTAGGACCAGGGGCCTCATGTACAAAGACTTGCGTGGATTTCTTACTGAAACGTGACATGCGGTCAAACCCAGAAAACGGCGTACGCACAAAAAAACCGGATGTATCAAACTGTGCGTATGCTGGAATCCACGCACATTGCTTTTGTACATCACAATTAACGTGGAACTGAGCGCAGGTAAGACACCTCTCCTGACACACCTTCATTAACATATGTTAAACAGATGCATATTACTTCCTGCATGTGTGAAGGACACATTTGAGTGATCCCTGCGCTATCAGAAACGAGTTCTAATGTCATAAAAAATAATGAATTTAATATAATGTGAATGTGAAAAAAAATCCTAAGTAAAAATAGGAATAAAATATGTTTATCATGCAAAGAACGAGTGATTGTGTGTCGGTGTGTGTGTGTGTGCGCGCACACTGCTGTGTTGTGCAACCAGCTTATCCATCCATTCTGAGTCTGAAAATATTAACTTTGCGCACGAGTTTATTACCATAATTACTGTAAACACAGATAAACATAGATCTTAGTTTATTTCATAGCTGATATTAAGAAACGAGTCTCTGTGCCTCAGTGGAGAGTTTTCATGACGTGATGTTGGAGAGTCCCCACAAACGCTACGCGTGCTGCAGCCTTCGTGTGCAGTCTGTCTGTCAAGCTTTTGCTTTCCTACTTACAGCATTTTCACAAGTTATAAAGTGTACTCCACGTGTCATTTTGGAGAAATCCCCAACAACGTAAACGCCAAGTATGAAACACTTCCACTGCCGGCCGGCGAGGGTGCGCACGTTCCAGAGTGCGACCATAACTCAGCCTTTAGAATCATATGGATGAGACGATTCCATTGGTCATGACTCGGCTTTGGGTGGAGTGGACTGACACAGTCCCGATGGGTCTGCCAGATCCCTCTGGAAAACTCCTGTGGAACCCCAATCAATCGCTGCTGCTGCTGCTGCACGCGTGGCGCACACGGCTACTCGCTGCGTCGCACTCCCAGAGCGCAGCAGTGCCAAACTGAAAATGATTTTTCCTCAAAACGGCTGATGAGCCACGCGTCATCAGAAAATTCTATCTGTTTATAAATAAAAGCTCTGTGTGTTACACTATTTATTATATCCTCCAGTAAGGCTGAATCCGTTCCTATTCAATGTATTTTTGGCCCAACTTTGCGCGTCATTTATTTAACTGCGTCCATGTGGATGTAATAACTGTTAATCATGTGTGTCTGGTGTGAAAAATAATCATTTTCACATCATGAACAGTTTCTCAGAATCACCTCTAAGTGTCGCCAATGGAACCAAAATCACAGAAACGTGCGTACGCCAGCCCTGGAGTTGGCGTGGGGCTGCGCACATTTTCACGGTCAGTTGAGCTTTGATACATCCGGAGTTTTACGTGGAAAATGGCATACGCAAGGTTTTTGTGTGTACGCACCGTTTATACATGAGGCCCCTGGAGAGTATGTTTTCTGACAAACTGGAGAGAGTACAGAAGCTCTTATAAAATGTTTTAGCTTGGATATTATACAGTATTTACAGTATAGTCCAGTCATCCTTGCATTTTACATGCCTCAGTGTTAAGCTACATTTTTGCGAAGAAACTATAAATATAGATCCTATGTTTTGCAATGAAATCATGAATATCGATAATTTTTAAGATAAGCTTTGCTTGTCTTGTGGAGCTGTGTGGTGAAGTGGGGTTCTGTGGGGTGGGAGCTTGGCTGGGTGCTGAGCTCCAGGGAGGAGCTTTGAGTAAATACGTGGTGCATTTAGACACTTCTAAATGGCTACCACAAATATTGAAGGATTTCTCAAACGTATGCAGTCAAAGCAACACATTGGATATGTTTGATGAGAGAATGACATTAAAACATTATATAAAACTTAAAGTTTATTTTGCATTATACTCTACTTTAATCAAAGGCACTTTGGTGTTGAAGTTTCTGTGGGTGTTTTGAATAAAACTGTACTATCATTTAATCTTCTCTGATTAAAATGATGATAAACATAATATTATTAGTTGAGTTTTGGACCAGCAGAGGGTTGGGGGTGGGGGGAGATGAATGTAGTTCCATGTGAGGACAGAAATCTTCTAATGTAAGTAATGGTGTACTTGGGTTACAGAACCGTTTGTATGATTAAAGCTCAGCTTAACGTGGTGAAGATGATCTGAACTGTTTCTGAGAAACTGAGTGAGATAACAGTGATTTTGCTTTTGGCCTAAATCCCCTTTCAACATGTTTCTCTGTAATTGTCCTGTTTAATCTGCAGATGATTATTCACCTAACACCAAAAAGACTTCATGTTTTATTTTCCAGCTACAGTCAGAAATTTAAACCTCAACAGTTCAGCTAAGAAAACCAAAGGTCAACAGGCTCTTCTAAAATCTATATATCTTATGATAAGAAATGTGCATTTGAAAGAAATAAACTATATCGTTTGGAAATGTTATTTGATATTTTCTCCTAAATAACCTGCAGAAAGTTTAAAAAATTTTTTTAGAATTTAATTACAACTGACCTTGATGAGAGAGGTACAGACAATGGCGCCTGCATTAACCATTGGGTTGTGAGGTTTATCTGCAGGAGAAAATCAGAACAGAAACAACCACACAGATGAGTAGAGAGAGGTACTGAGGAGCACTGTATTAAAAAACAGTAATCTTTCTGTGCCAAAGGTACAAACATTCTGAAAAAAAAAGATGCTTTCAGTTGATCAGCGCAGACAGAGGAAAG